ATATTTGTATATATATTATATTATATATTATATATATATAATATATATATATTATATATATATATATTGTATATATATAACTATATTTTATATATATATATATATATATATATATAAATATACTATATATATAACAAAAACATACAAAAATCAATCAACACCAAGAAGAGTGTATGTACACCTCTATACATATATATAGTGTGCATATATATATAATCCCATATATATATATATATATATATATATATATATATATAATATATATATATAATATAATAAATTAATACACCGCGGTATATATATGTGTGTGTGTGTGTGTGTATGTGTGTGTGTGTGTGTGTGTGTGGTGTGTGTGTGTGTGTGTGTGTGTGTGTGTGTGTGTGTGTGTGTTGTGTGTGTGGGTGTGTGTTTGTGTGTGTGTTTCCACAGCATCGTTTGTATCCTACTCTTCTTCACTTGTTTTTTCTCCTGGCTTCCTTTTTTCTTTCATACAACCTTCGCTTACTCGCCCCGTCTCTCACAATCGCTCCAGTTTGACGTCGCATCGCATAGAAAATAAAAAAGAAGACGAAAAAAGAGTAAACAAAACTCCTCTACAATGACAAAATGTTCGATCGGTTCCTCCCCTCCCCTCACCCTTCCCTTCCTTTCCCCTCTTTCCCCTCCTTTCCCTTCCCCCCTCCCCTTTCCCATCCACCACCATCCCCGTTCCCTGTCCTCCTTCCTCTATTTCTCGCTCCTTCCAAAAAATTCCAGACTTTTTGATTCACTGGCAGATGGGTAGATGGAGGAGGGGAGAGGGGGGGGCAGTCCTAGGGGTAGAGGGGAGGGGAGTGGCTACGGGAGGGGATTTTATGGTCAGGGGGAAAGGGGTGGGGGGAAGGGTTGCAGGCAGAGGGGAAAAATAGGGATGGAGAAAGGAGAGCAGTAGGAGGGGATAAAGAAAGGAAATTTTAGTATCGTAAATGCAGTTACGGGATACAAAGACGTGGGTAATAGATAGAGGATCTCTAGAAAAGGTTATCAAATCAAACACATTCATAAACACATTCATGCACATGTACACATACACACCTACATGAAGACATACATACACATAAAACAAACTCATCTATGCCTCAAGCATAAGCACAGATTAGATACAAAATCACAGACACAAACACAGGAAAAAATACACAAAAACATATACCCACACATATCACCACATCCGTACATACTCCCCCTCATACACATATCCGCACACACACACACATACGCACACATATTCACACGAACACGCACACTCGCCTGGACCGTACACACGCTATGCAATATAAAGGGTCTTACTCAAAGCAAGCAAAGACGCTTCTTGTTGCAATAAAAAAGGAATATAAAAATCACTTAATGAGGTTCAGGATATTCATGTGTTATTGTCCTCCATCCTGGTAGGATTTCTAAGAATATGGGTCGGAAATAGGAGGTTGTAAGGAGGGAGGAAGAAGGATGGGGGAGGAAAGAGGTGGGAAAGGGTGAGAGGGAAAGGGAGGGGGAAGGGGGGCTTTGAAAAAGGCGAGAAAGGGTAGAATGAGAAGGAATGGGAGGAGATA